GGCGAGGTGTGTGAGGTCGCGTGCGCCTGTGTTGTGGTGGTGATGTAGGTGGATGGGTGATTTAGATGTTTGTAGGTGCGCGCTTCTGTGCGGGTGCTGAGCGTGTGAGCCCGGCTGGGCTTTGTGACCACGTGTGGTGTGTGAGTGAATGTGTGTTTGTGCATAGGAGCCGCCCCGCTCCCCTGGGCCCACAGCCCCAGAATTCTGCGTCCCAGGGATTGCCCCGAGGTTCCTGAGCCCCAGGGCTGGGAGCAGCACCGAGAAATACCCGACTGCACTGTGAAAGCAAGGAAGGATCTGGTTCATTACTGGGACCAATTGGAACCTCTAGGTGTTTTCTTATAGTTCCCTCAGAATTGGCAACACTGAATTCATGATCACCTTTCTTAGCGCAGGTCTGAGTGGCTTCCCACCACCCAACTTGCTAGTTTACAATCAGTGTCATGCATTCTTTTGCTATTTTTTTTTTTTAAAGCCTTTAAAGATAAAGAGCATTGGATGTACCTGCATTCAGGGGTTGTTGCAGTTAAGGGATTGTCTGTAAAGGACCCTCATCAGCGCCTTGGGGTGAGGTTATGATCACTGTTGGAGGGGCGCACCTCTCCTTAGTAGGGTGAGGAATGGAAGCTTGAGGGGAGGCAGGATCACAACAACTCACATTTAATTCTGACAGCCCTGTCCAAGCCATTGGAAGGCACTCATTTCTACTTTCTTCTGTTTTCAGGACAAGTTATTTAACTTCTATGAGTTATTAACTTCCTTAATTTACTTATCTGTAAGATGGGGCTATTGATATCTACTCTATAACCTGTTGTGAATTTAATGAGAACATGCATGTAAAAATACTTAGCATTGGTCCTGATAATGTCAAGCACTAGTCATAGCTGTCATAACATTTAAAGCATGAGCTAGCTATGTTTCCAATTTCAACTTGCAAAGTAGTGACAAGATATATCTTAAAGAGGAAATATTTTTTTTTCTCTCTCCTTCTCCCCCCTTCTGTTCTTCCTTCTTTACCTACCTAATTATCACTCCTTTTTTATTCATATCTTAATTACACAAAAAGAGAAATCTAATAAAAGAAGAATACAAGCACAATCTTGTCATTAAGAAAAAAACACAGGTGAGTGTGCCGACCCCAAATCTTAACGGAATTATCCTTACTGAGCATAAAATCCTTGCATGCAAACCAGAAATGGATGTATTATACTCAATTTCTGCTCATTAGCTGAAAGAAAGAAGTGTGACAATTCTTTAGGGGAGACTCCCCTCCTCCCACCTTATGTACTAATTTCTAAAAGGAAATTCTCACATGAGGCAAAATCACTGCACATTGCCATTAATGACCATTTAAAATTGATTGATTCATTCAATAACTATTTAAATACCAGACAGGAGGGTGAATGCTGGATACACAAATAAGGGACAATGGGAACAGATATGATGCCTGCCTTCATGGAGCTTATAATCCAGAGGGGGAGATTAATTAAATTACATATGTTAATATATAAAACATAAATGGAGATTAAACACTCCAAAAAGAATGGCGTGCCCTGAGACAGAGAACATAATTTAAATAGGGGTGTCAAGGAATGCTCTCTCGGGAAGGGATGTTTTAGTCCTGCTCTGCCTCAGGGACTTTGCACTTGCTGTTCCTTCTTCCTAGAATACTTTCTTCCAGACTTTCTGTGAGATTCCTGCCACATGTCCTTCAGGACTGTGTTCAAACAGTCCTTTCCTCAGAGAACGCTTCCCCACTAAACCTAAATCCCAGTATCCCCCTATCCTGCTCTACTCTTTGTTATAACTCTACCAGCCCCTGGCATATGAGAGATTTATTTAGTAATTACCTGCTTGTCCCTCCCCATGCCTACCTGTAGAATGCCAACTCCATGACAGCAGGGACTGTTTGGTTCACTGCTACATCCCCAACACCTGGAGCAATAAATATGTTCGTGAATGAAAAGGAAGCAGCCCCAGGGTGGAGGCAGGAGTGAAGAGAGGTTTCCAGATGCAGAGACCAGGAACATGAGGCAGGATAGGGCACTAAGCATTCCATTAGAGTGGAAGAAGGCTGGATGATGAGAAGAAAACAAAATGGCAAAGATAGTGAGGGATTTCTACATAAATGTGACCTCTCCGGGAAATGAATAGACCCCCTAGAGCCTATCTGGAGAGAAGGACAAATAATGTGGGTGCAACCAGATGGAAGAAATTGATAAAGTGTAACAAATATTCTACCATGTTAGTGTCCTTATCGCCATGAGGAAACCTACTTTCTCAATCCTGGGTAGGGACGATTCATATTTGTCACCTCATTGAATACTCAGGAAAGGTCGGTGAAGTAGGTTTATCTTTTCATTTTACAGTTGAGGAAACTAAACCTCAGTGAGTCCAAGTGCCTTGTCCCAGGCCACCCAATGCACCAGCCAAGGAGCCCAGTGGCCCATTTAACATGCATGGAATCTCTCTCACCTACCTATAAGGCTAATGTGTGGGCTAGTCACATCCTCAGGAGGATGGCACAAGAAAAAGGGCGGAGAAAAAATGGTAAACTAAGTACAGCCCTTGGAGGGAGGGCCGGGGAAAATGGATGCTACTTAAATTATTTCAGTTTTTTCTCAAAAATCCAGAAAAAGGTCAGGCCAGACAAAAAAAAAAAAACAAAAAAAAACCCTGGCCTGCACCTCAAAATGATGCATTGATTCCAGCCCCCTCAACCACAGGGGGCATGAGTATTATATTTCTCATCGGTGCAATGTCTGATGGTAACTCAGTGATGCGTGTGTTACGGGGAAGAGAAGTTTGGACGGTAATCATGGTCCCTCCGAGCAACGGATCTCGGTTATCTGAGGGCTCCTGCTTCAGTCACTGGGGCTTAGGAGCCTCACTTTATTTGTGATTTATTTGGTGAAAGAACTGCCAGCAGGTAATCAGCATGAGGACCTTGCAGCAATCACCAGAAGGTATATTGTCCATAACGTTTGCATGGTTCCCAGGCTTGACTTCCAGCCATTTAGCGCTGATCACCATAATCACAGGGTGCAATGCCCCCTCCCTTTCCCCGGCAAGATGGGGGCAGAGGAGTATCAGTGGTCTTCTTAAGGTGCCATGCCTGTTGCCTTCAAGATGTTCCTATCAGTCTGAGGACAGCGTGGGAAGAACACTGAGGATGCTGTCATAAGCCAGGAAACGCACACCCTGGGTTCTGGACCTGAATCTGTCATGTCACTAGCGAAGAAGGGTGCCTCTTAACTGTTTCTAAAGCTCTTACTGCATTTCGGGCATTGTGGGAGCAGCTTCACATACATGATCTCTTGAATCCTCGCAGAAACCTGGTGAGGCTTCCTTCGTCCTTCAAATACACTTGGTGATACAAATCTCGCAGGAGACTAGAAGCCCTCCAGAAACTAGGAAGCATACCAACACAAGATATCACTGATTTTTTAATCACTTTTTCTCAGACGCACTGAATAACATTCTCATGTTCTGTCTCACCTAGCATGCCCGTTTCAGTCTCTGTTGATGTTGTTGCATGTGTTGGTGTATTAGAAAATAAGGCCATTCATCCATTTATTTATTGAGTGCTCGCCATGCGCCAGGCAGTGGCTGGGTGCCAGGGCCACAATGGGGAACGAGCCAGAGGCAGTGGCTGGCCTAATGGAGATGTCGAGGTCAGGAGAGGACAGTTTATCATGTTCCAGGCCCCAAGAGCAGGGCTGGCTTTCCCACCAAGCCTTGCTTTCCTTAGATGGCTCCTCAAAGCTCCTGACGGGTGCTCGGTGCACCGTGGCCCATTAGAGTAGGACTGGAGTATCAGAGTCCTTTACTAAAGGAAAGAAAGAAAAGAAAAACCTCAACATAATGTGATGGTAAGTAAAGAGCATCAATTTTACTGATGAAAGCGATAGATTAGTAATTAAGAAAGTCATAAGTAATTGGGAGGGGCTGAGGAGTTTGAACAACCAGAAGATAAAAAAGACCTTGAAGCACTGAAGATTGAGAAAGATAGAAGTTAAAGTCTCCCGGGCACAGGATTGGCCCTGGTTTGAGATTCGGTTTGGAGGGAGGCTGGGCCACACCTTGAGTGAGTGCAAACCTTCTGGACAATTTGCTGCGAGGCCCAGCCCGATCTAAGATAGTTCTTTAAATGAAATACTGGTTTAGGGTTTGCAGAAGCAAATGGGATGGGAAGATATGTTGGTTTGGGAAGTTTTGCTCATTCCCTTTTATTTAATACTTTATTTTAAAAACCACATGTCCCAGAAACAAAAATTTCAGGTTAAAAATAGATATGGGGGAGGGGGGGAATCTCTTTATTCCAAGTCTCCAGAAGAGTTTGTCTGATGTGAAAAATAAATATTATGATCATGACAAGAAAAATTATAAACTATTAACAAATCTACTTAGACAAAGCCACTAGCCTTACACGCAAGCATAAGGGGACCAGATGGCAAAGGGATAAATGAAACTAAAGATAAATGGTTGAGTTGGAAAATAATCTCATTAAAGTATAAATGACTCTGCTTGGATAAGGGGAAGCAGAGATAGTGGTCCTGGCTGGGAGGCTTCCCAAGACTCTGAGCCTACGGTTCCCGGCGTGAGATCTGGAGTCCAAGACCAGACACCCCACAGTATGCCCACGGTTACCCCTCCAACCGCCAGCGGTGGGTGAAAAGCAAGAGGGGAACAGGAAAGACCTCTGGAAAAGTGCTGTGGAAATTGAAGAATACGATGAAACTTTAGACTCAGGACACTGAGGATAGCTGAGCCTTCCGGGAACTGTGTCTGGGTCACCCACTTGTCATCACACTGATGGTCTAGACTTGGACAGGTGAACTCTCTGTCCTCTTCACATTCTGACACTTTCCTTCAGTGACCCAATCTTCCACAGCTCTGACTGCCTGCATTAATCTGCTAGGTGTGTTATAACAAAGTCCCACAGACTGAGTGGCTTAAAGAATGGGAATTTATTTTCTTCCAGTTCTGGAGGTGGGCAGTTCCACAGTGTGGTGGTGGCAGGTTTGGTCTCTCCTGAGGTCTCTCCGCTTGGCTTGCAGATGGCCGGCTTGTCTCTGTGTTCTCACGTGGTCACTCTGCTCTGCGTGCACATCCCTGGTGTCTCTTTGTGTGTCCAAATTTCCTCCTTTTATAAGGACACCACAGATTGGATTAGGATCTCCCCTAATGGCCTCATTTTAACTTCATTATTTCCCTAAAGACCTTATCTCCAAATAGAGTCACATTCTGGGGTACTGGGGCTTGGGCTTCAGCCTGTGGATTTGGAGGCACCCAATTCAGCCCATCACACTGCCTTTGAAGGCGTCTCATGTAGGAGGCAGGGTAGTATGTAATGGGTAAGACTGACTTTTAATGCTGGCCAGACTGCCCATGTTTAAACTGTCCCTCTCTCACTTTCTAGGTTTGTGATCTGGGGCAAGTAAGCTCTCCGAGGGCTGGATCCCTTGTTTGTATGCTGGGCATACTAAGGGCTTTGGGAGGACTGAGAAGTTACTACCCAGAGTGCTGACATAGCGCCCGGCATGTGGGAAGTGTTGGGTGTTATCATTCTGCTCTGCAGTCAGCTTCCAAATCTCTCTCTCTCTTTGTGAGCTCTCTCGGGTTCTGTGTCTGACTGTCCAAATGCTTTTGACCTTCTCCACACGAATGCCATGCACTCACGGACTCCTCAAGATGCCACTGACCTGGGGATCCTGCTGGATCTGGTCCACATAAGAGAGAGACCCTGCCTTTGAATCCTGACAGTCATTAGTGGGAGATCCAGGCAAGTAAACCCTAAACCTCAACACGATGTGAAGAATGTTATGACAGATGTGTGTGGGGTTCAGTTTAGAAATGTACAAATGCTGTTAGAGCCCGTGGAAGTGAGGAAACCAAACATCCTGAGCAACATGGGAGGCGAGGGGGGAGGAGGATGAAGTGATAGGGAAAGGTTTCACTGAATAGAAGACGTGGTTGGTAAAATAGGTGATGGGGATTAAGGCGCGCACTTGTGATGAGCACCGGCTGATGGATGAAGTGTTGAATCACTATATTGTACCCCTGACACTAATATAAGCCAAGTGAGGCTGAGGGGGTTCTCCTTACCTCTGTCAACTCCTGGATCTTCTAGGTAACACCTGTTGGTGTACTCTCCTTGTTCGCTTACATTTTTTTTTTTTTTTTGCCAGAACTATGTCTGGGCCCCTGGAGACTTCTTTCTATGAGGTAGGTCTACAAGTATCATGAGCCACGGAATGATAAGGTTGCCCTATTGGGCAGGCTGGCTGGGGGTGTTGAGCAAAGCCTCGGGCTCAGATGACCACTCTGCTGGGTGGACCAGTAGGTGGCATCCTGACTAGACCGGCTGTCTTCAGGATGGCTTCGAGAAGAACCACCGACAGGATCTCTGGCGTTCTCAGGTGCTGGGAATGAAGCTACTTGCTCTGGTAATGTGGTTGTTGGTTTTTCACAGTCTAAGAACCTGACCTTGTCAACACCCACAACGACTACCTTAAAAATAAAACCTCTCCACTTAAGGCTCCTCTCCCCTCTGGCCTCCTCAGAAATTTTTCCCTATGGCTTGCCCCTTCTATCTGCTGTATCTTCAACCTCTCACAGGTATCTCCGTTGACACTGGAATACGCTCATCTCTCTCATGTTGAAAAAGAAAAACACCAACCTTGTTAACCCTATGTTCTCTAACAGCACCTGCCACTCCTTCACACAGCACATTTTCTGAAAGCATGGCTTATGTTTGTAATCCCTGTCTCCTTTCCATTCCAGGTAGGTTTCTGTTGCCTTCCACACTGGTAATTTCTCCCTTCTTCTCAGGACGGGCTCTTCCCTTGGCTTTCATGGTATCACACGTCCTGGTTTTTTTTCCTGCCCCTCTGGTCACATCTGCTTTGTCTCCCATGTAGCTTCCCCTACTGTCTTTATGCACAGGAGTCCTCAAGGCTGTCCATAGGCCTCCTCCTCCTCTTTCTTTGCATTCTCTCCTTTGGCCTATGATTTTGGCTGCTACACACAGGACTCCCAACATGATACCTCCATGACCTCTCTAGCTCTGACACCTCCTCTGTGCCTTGGGTGGGCCTGTCTACCTTATTATCTCTTTGACATCTTTCTTTGAATGTTTCAAAGGCACTTCCAATTAAAGTTCTACAAAACTGAGCTCATGATCACCACCCCCACCCTTCCCACCCTCCGACCCTCACCCCTGCCATTCTTCTCTTCTCCATCCCTTATCTGAGTGAATGGTACCATCATGTGTCCTAGTTGCAAGCCAGAGATCTAGGTGTCATCCTTGAAAACTCTCTCTCCCTTAACCACTTACCAATGCATTACCAAGTCCTGTCATTTCTGCTTGCTAGGTGTGCCCTGAAATCCTTGTCTTGTCTCCAACTCCTCTGCCATAATGTTAGTCCATTCTTCCCTCCTCTCTAGGCTAGCCTGTTATGCTAGTCTTCAAATGGCTCTGCACATCCATTCCCGCCTCTCTCATCTAGACACCATACTCTTCCTGAAAGACAAGTCTGGTTGTGTATTCTCCACAGACTAAAGGATTGTGATAGCTTTCAATTGCTCTTAGGACAGAGACCAGAATTGTACCAAACTTCCAGCCATGTGTCACCACAGCCACTCCAACACTCCATTCTCTCTGCATTCTCTGTGCTCTAACTATCCTGGCCTTCTTTAGCTCCTCAGATGACCAACTGTGCTTTGTCTCCAAGCATAGCGCATTTGCTTATGCTGGTTTCTCTATCTGGAATACTCTTTCTGGCCCACCTTCATCTACTTGGTCATCAGATCACCTCTCAATAATTATTTCCTTCCTGACTAGATGGAGCTCCCTATTTACATATTCAGGGGTTCTTAACAAAGAGGTCATCTTATATTTATTTGTATGGTTCCTTGATTATTCCCTTTTTCCACCTGTAAATTATAAGCTCCATGAAGACCAGACTGTTCTGCTCACCATTGTACATTCAATGTCTAACATAAGGGTTTACACATAGTGAGTGTTATTACAACAGACACTTCTATGCCTAGCATTTAATCCTGAGTCTGGCACATAGTAGGCATTCTGCGAATGTTGCTGAAAGGGTAACTGAACACATGGACTACAAATGTTCTAAGCTCTTGGAGGTAGCCAGAAAATTCTCAAAGAGATATTCTTTTTATAAAAAAGAATTCTTCTTTTTTATAGAAAAGACTTACAGTCTTATTAAAGCATTCATCATGGGCAAGGCAGAATATGTACCAGAGCAAACATGGTTCAAATAATTAAGTTTTGTCCCACTGGAAGATTTACTTACTGAAAGAAGAAGGGGAAAAGGGTACAATGAGTGACAGTGGTTAATTCTCACAACCTCTCAAGAGTTGACCCAGGTGACCTCTGGAGTCTTCCAGGCGTGAGTAATATAATGTGGAAAACATTACATTATGAACTGGCTGTACTTTGATGCTTTCACTTTTCCATAATATTTTCCAGAATTCAAAGTATTATATCGAGTCATCACAAGGTAAATTAGGTCATTTTCTTCCCATTCTGTCTTTGACTAGCAATCTTCTACTGTGACGGTCGTTTTGACATGTCACCCAGGATTCTCAGAGGGTAGAGGTTACTAAGCACTGAGAACTATTTGCTGGAGGTTGTAGAATCTTCTCTTCTGGAAGGGAAAGGAGCTCTTTTAAATATGAGGATTCCTTAGTTTCTTGGGGTTAGGTTAAATGTTCTCCATCTTAAGGGGAGTGGATTGATCCCATGAGTTCCCCAGGTCTCCCTCTGCATCATGATTCCATGATCCTATTAACGTTTGACAGAAGGGCAAGTCTAAATGTGCAATTCCATATAACCCTTGAGTTTTCTCCAGGGGATGAAATTGAATAGAAAATGGAATATATCATAGTGATGGGAATCTAGCTGTGTGCTTTGGAATAGTAACTAGCTGCACCGCTTCATCACCTTGGAAACACGCAAGGCCTGAGATGGTGACTTAGAGGGCTTATGCTACTGACTCCAAATTTATCTGGATTTGGCTTCATGGTGGGAGGAAACACATGTGATATTTTATCTGTGAATCTGGGAACACTGACAGATGGTGTTCTAAGTGATTTAAGAAGCCAAGAGTACAGAAACCAAAAGGATCAAGGTGCAACCCCTGGTTTTATGCTAAAAAGAAGGGAATGTGGGGCGCCTGGGTGGCTCAGATGGTTAAGCATCTGCCTTCGGCTCAGGTATTGATCTCCAGGTCCTGGGATCGAGCCCCATGTTGGCTCCCAGCTCAGCGGGGAGTCTGCTTCTCCCTCTCCCTCTGCCTCTCCCCCTGCTTGTGCTCTCTCTCTCTCTCAAATGAATAAAAAATATTTTTTAAAAAAAGGGAATGTGGGTCAGTGTGCTGTGGAAAGTTTTAGGTTGTTTTACACATGATGCTAAATATCAAGATGATTCATGAGAAAAAAAAAGACTGTCAAACATCTGCCCATTTGGTTTGTATAATGCCAAACATGGAGATATTTGGAAACATTGAAATGTCTGACATTGCAATGATAAACTTTCTGGATGAACAATTATGTGGGTTTTCTTTTTAATTCCTTATTTTGTTGCTGCATACATCCTTTTTGAAAAGTTGCTTTATTATATGTAACTAGGATGTACATTGCATTTCAAAACATAATGTATGGCTATCCAGAGAGGTTTTTTTTTTTTTTTTTTTTTTTAAATAAGTGTTTTCCAGTTCTATGATGGAATTTTTCCCAACAGAAAGATTGTAGAAACTTCCATTTGGCCTCTGAGCAGCAGTCCACACAGGCAGCCACACCCTCCTCCCTAGGGCACTCCCTACACTTGATTATCAGCCCTGTTAGTTCTCTTCCCACATCTCTGGACATTGCTTCACAGATCCTTTGCCATATCCTACAGATCAATCTGACTTCTTGTATTGGAAGCATACAATTAGAAGAGTACAATTGTCTTCTAATGTCTCTCTCTCTCTCTTCTCATTCTCCACTCATTTCCCTGGTGATCCTATGCATGCTGACCAATACAAGCACTATCAATATGATGATGACTTCTAAACTTGCATCTTTGACCCATTTCTCCCAGCTGAGCTGCAACCTTAAGTTCAATTCCCTACATGG